GGGGTAAGAGTATGACATGGGGTAAGAGTATGACCCAAGGTAAGAATATGACATGGGGTAAGAGTATGACCTGCATGGGGTATGACACCCGTGCAGAATCTGTATAAAGTAGAAGGATATGTATTATGGATTTTGTGTCTCAATACTCTTAGGATTTCAGAATGCAACTGTTTTGGGAGCTAATACTGTAAGAGAAGTGAATATGAAGCTGTGAATATGAGCCTAATATAGCATGATTGGTGTCCTTATAAGAAAAGGTGTGAGGGATGCATATTCTGAGAGAAAGGCCACAGGATGCCACAGTAGGGAAGCCTGTAGCAGTTAGGAAGCCAAGGAGGAAGGGCCTTGGAAAAAATAAACTTCCCAACCCCTTCTTCACTGTAGACTTGTAGCCTCTGGAGCTATTACAAAATAAGTTTCTACAGCTTAAGTAACCTAGTATATGACACATTGATGATTTATCTCATTTTTAATTGTGTGTGTGTGTGTGTGTGTGTTATCTGTCTGTCTGTCTGTCTGTCTGTCTGTAGGAGTGTGTGTGCTTGCAGAGGCCAGAAGAGGGCCTCAGAGCCCTGGAACTGGAGTTAGAGGAGACGGCCAGCCGACTGATTTGGATGCTAGGTTCATAGAACTCTCTGCTCCTGAAAGAGCAGCATCGCTCTTAATCACTGAGCCATCTCTTCAGCCTCACTGTGAACATTAGCATTCAGTTCAAAGCCTCTCCTTAGCTTGCAGTTGATAGATGTCATCTAGTAAAAAGCATTCTCACAGCTAAAATGGTTAGATCTGGCTGCCATTTCATATAATGTTTCTACATGTTTTTAAAATATAACTTTCAAAAACAGTCCTTGCCTGTTCTTAGAGTTGAAAGTACTTTGTGATGATTTTTGTAACGATAAATGAAATAACTGGTATTTCCCTTCTTCATGTGTGTGAATCTGTATATTTTGAGATATTTTTTAGAACAAACCCCACAAAGGGCTAGTGACATTGTTCAGGGGTAAGAGCTCCGTGTCTGGAGTTTATATGGTATGCGATTTGGACTCTTCTCTCCTGACTTCCCTATGTCCTCCATAGCCTGTGCACACAATCCCATACAAGTAAATTAGCCAATCAATACATGAATGCAAGAATCACTCAAAAGTTATCAAAGAGATTTGTGTGAAACATGTTGACCAAAGCACACGTACCTCTCTAGCTCTCAAATGCTTTCCCTCTATTTGCTGGGTAGCAGCAGTTAATAGCAGTAGCAGACTGTTATTAGCATTTCTGCATGCAAGTCACAATCGCAGAATTTTAGCAATGGAGAACATCTCACCTGCCACACACAGTCACCTTTGGTTGGTCTGCCTCCATGTGGCTGTGTCACTCCCTCACCTTGAACAGTCCCTGTTCTTTCGGGTCTGTGCAGCCGTACTAGTAGAGTTAATAGGTGTGAAGGGAAAAGCAAATGCTGGAGTTAAGAATTTGTGAGTTCCCCTCTATAGTGAAACGCTGGCAAACGTTTCAGCTGTGGGAAATTGCTTTCTGAGCAATAGTAGAGGGGCTGTGTCTTGAAGAAAGCTTTTGAGTGTTTGCATTTTAATGCCTATTTTTTTTCATGAAGTTTGTCATCTCCCCAGTGTTTGTTATTTCTTTCTAATCCCGTCGACTTTTCTGTAGTAACTCACTGTGAAATGTTTGTCCATGAATTCCAGGGTTTTTAAGCTGGAAAGTAAATGTCTGACTCCATCAGTCATCAGGAGAGAGAGAATATGGCAGAGTGCTGGGTGGTGCACACATGGAGTCATTCAGTGAGGGAAAAGTAGTGGGTCCAGACTAGCAGTTTGGAAGCCCAGGGC